GTTTGAAGTTTTGAGGGTTTGAGGTTGAGGACTATTGGCGCGGCGACCAAAAGCTAGACCTAACCTTCGGATGTGTGTAGTGTGACAGAATAATTGATAAGTGTAAAATGTGATGGTAGGTGAATAAATGCACAGTTATGAAATATAAAGTACTGAAAAAAAAAAAGATAATGCGACAATTGTCTCGCAAAATTACAACCGGGAAACAGATACATATATAATAATGAATTGGAATTTAATCTGCAGAGAGAAACTGAAAAAAAAAATCGTTAGTGAAAGGTTAGATGAAAACAAATAATATTAAAGGAGAATACAAAAATGCAAAAAGATTTTAGAGTAAATTTTAAAGAGAAATTAATATTAGTTTAAAAAAGAGACTTAAATTTTAAAAAGAAGGTTTAATTTTTATCTTAAAAAAAAGTTTAATTTTAAAAAATATTTTAAGTTATTTATAAAAAAGTTTTATTTTTATTATATGAAAAGAGGTTTTTTATAAAAAGGTTTTTAAAGTTTTTACTTATTTTAAAAAAAAACAATTTCAATATTTTTTACAAAAGGGTTTTTTTTTAACAGTTTTTTAATTATAAAATAAAATAGTTTTAAAAAAAGCAAAAAAACAAAAATAAAAGGTTAAAAAACAATTTTTTTAAAACAAAAAAAAATAAAGGGGTTGGGCCGGTCATCACCCTTCTTCTCTCTGCTCTCTGAGTTTGCGTGTGTTCCTCTCCTTCTTGTTTGCCTCTCACGGATGTTATCTTCTTCTTCTTTTGCATGGCCGCCGATTTGTCTTCTTCATCTCTTTTTCCTGAAAAACATGAAAAACAACACAAAAATTGTAATTATATTTTTTGATCCTTACGGAATGATGATGGCCGATGATGCTTTGTCCTGAGGCTAGAGGATTTTTGACGGGGTTTGCTTGGATTTTACGAAAAAGTTTTTTCTTTCTTGTTATGATTTCCGTCCCTTTTATACTTGATTTTTAAATCTTTTTTAATCTCAGATTTAATTTGAATATCTCAATCTTTTTCAATCTCGGATTTGATTTGAGTAGATTTTTATGATGATTTCAGATTTGATTCAATGATGGTGATGTTGATATTCTTATGATGATGATATGATCTGATTGATTTGATCTGGAATTCATTGGGATTGGATTTGATTAAAAAATTGTTGGGATTTAAATTTAAAAGTTAGCAAAGAAAATAAGAGCTTCAAGTTAAATAAAAATTAGAGTTTTAAGTTTAAAAAAACTGAGTTAGAATTTAAAAAAAAAATATATATATATATATTTGAATGTTGGTTTTAAAAAATGTTAGAATTATTTTAAAAACTGTTAGAATTTAATTTTAAAAGGAATTTAGAATTTTAATTTGAAAAAGGATGGTGTCAAAAAAGATTTAGATTTAATTTTAAAAAAAAAAAGTTAGAAAAAAAATTAATTTTAAAAAGAAGTTAGAGAAAAAAAAGATTTAATTTTTTAAAAAGAAGTTAGAAAAAAAAAGATTTAATTTTTAAAAAGTAGTTAGAAAAAAAAAGATTTAATTTTTAAAAAGTAGTTAGAAAAAGGATTTAACTTTTAAAAAAGTTAGAAAAAGATTTAACTTTATAAAAGTTAGAAAAAAGATTTAGCTTTAAAAAAGTTAGAGAAAAGATTTTGCTTTAAAAAAAAGTTAGTAAAAGAGATTTAGCTTTAAAAAAGTTAGAAAAAGATTTAACTTTAAAGAGGAGTTAGAAAAAAGATAAAAAAAGTTAGAAAAAAGATTTAAATTTTTTAAGAAGTTAGAAAAAAATATTTAACTTTAAAAAAGTTAGAAAAAAAAGATTTAGTTTTAAAAAAAAGTTAGAAAAAAATATTTAACTTTAAAAAAGTTAGAAAAAAAAGATTTAATTTTAAAAAAAAAGTATTAGATTTTTATTTAAAAAAAAGTATTAGAATTTGATTAAAAAAAAGTGTTAGAAATTAATTTAAAAAAGGTTATAAAAAATTTACTCTTTAAAGAAAAGAAAAAAAAAGTTAAATTTTAATCTAAATCCTAAAAGTTAGTAAGAAGAGCTTAAAATGACTTAAATAAATAAACTAAATAGAAAAAAAAAATTAATAAAAAAACATTAGTAAAGTTATAAAAAAGGTTAATTAAATTATTATTAGTTAAAAAAACAAGATTTAAAAAAAAGGTTAATTTATTAAGTTAATAAGAATTTAAAAAAAAAGAAAGGGTAAAATTTGGGGTATTACATCTCCCTTCAGCCACGGTAGCGAGTCTGAAACTCCTATAACAGTGTCTTTGTATCCGGATGCTCAGGCCTTGCAACCAACGCTTGAATGAGAAACTCCCTTCTGCTGGTAACATACTTTAAGTCCTGAGCATACTCCTCCCAAGCACCTTCTCCGAAAGCGTCTTTGAGTATTGGTTTCTTCAATTCCACTCTCATCTTGTATTCTTCCAACGTTGCCAGAGCTTCTCGTAACTTACGGTCATTTTCATGTTAACAAAATGATTCCCCTGAAGCTTTTTCATCTTTAATCTTGAGTTGAGTCTTCAACCTGTCAATCTGTTGATGGAGTTCATCCTCTCTTCCCTTATTGGCAGTTAGAGCAGCATTCCACTGATTGTTGAATTTGGATATCTCCAAGCGCACTCTTTCCAACTCTTTCTTCTTGTCCTTAAGGATATTGCTAGCACTCTTCAGATCTTGACCTGCTCGTTCTCGGGCACGAATCTCTTCAGTCAGTTCTCTCCCCATCTTGTTCAAGGTTTCAGTCTTAATCTTGGACAAATAGGCTGCTTCATTCTTTTCGCTTCTCAGTTGAATAGCCTCCTTTTCCAGCTCTTCATTCGCTTTGCATAACTCTTCTTTCTCAGTCCACAACTTATTATACTTCTGTATATCAACTATTGTTGGTTCTTCATCTACCAAAGGATATAAAGGCTCTCTGACTGGGAATGGTAACAGTACCCTTTCAATCCTCTTCTGGATCCATTCAACATATGGTCTATAGGCTCTACATTCACCTTTACCCAAAGAAGATTTTCCTCTTCGGTGGAGGTCCTTTCAAAGTGTAGACAAATTGCCTGATTGCAAGAGAAAGGTTGTAGTTGTTGCCACCTTTCCTTCCTATCAAAGGAACATTGGAAAAGTTCCCACAGCTGTAGATAATCTCCTTGCCAAGCAGGTCTCTAATGAACCAAACAATATTCTCTGATGTCAAACCCATGATTCTCTCTGACCAATCAACTGTGTCTAAGGTATCAACAAAAGGTCCAGCCTTAGGAAGATGTGCCATAAACCATCTGTAGAGAAGTCGCGCACAGCAAGAGACATTCTTCCCTCTTCTGTTCTCATTCTTGTAGTGCACAAAATGGTATACATCCCCCAAGAGAATAGGCACAGGATTTCGGGAAGCAAAAATATGGAAGGTCTTCAAATCAACGAAGTCCGGGATATTAGGGAACAAAACTATGCCATAAATGCAGAGCGCCAAAATTGCATTGAAAACCACCTGTTGCACCCTAAAATTTGCCCATCAGTTTTCTAGCTTTGACTGGCTTTTGCTTCGTTTTCATCGGCATGTCATTTATGTCGCATTTTACCCGTGTTATCAGCCGGATTGAATTTATCAGGATTTTAGCCGCTTGGTTCGCATTTCAGGCTATTCAAATAATTCAAATGAGAAGTTCAGTGTCGAATTCGAGCGAAAAGTCGCTCTCTTCCTGATGGTTCAATCAGTGCTGATAATTTGACGCATTTCGGTGCTTGCCCGTTTTCCATGGCATTTTCGCATTTCTATTTTTGTCTTATTTATTAATTTAGAAATACTTTGAATATGATTATTTTTATAGATTTTAATATTTGTAGTTTTTTTATAGGATTATTTTTATAGAATTAATTAATATTTATAGAATATTTTTAATAATTGATTTAAATATCAATAGTTTAGAAATAGGTTTTTTTGGTTAATTATTCTTTTTCAATATTACTAAGTTTTTATTTTTAGTATTAAACTAGGATTTTTTTTAGTTAATTTAGTTAGGATTTTAACTTTAATTAGGATTTATACTTATTCTTAAATTTAACTAACTTTGTTTTTTAATTAAACCAACTTAGAGTTTTTATTAATTTATTTTCATTTGATTAAGTCAACATCATTATCAGTTTTATTTCATTTAATTAAAATTTAATCAGCATGTAATCAGGCTTAACGGAGCCACGTGTCAGTTTCCCCCCATATAAGAACACTGTTTACTGTCTCCTTCATTGGGGATCCCTAACCCTAGAATTACCAGCCGCCTATCCTAGCCACCTTCATCGTGTTCTTCAATCCCTCTCCTTCCAAACAATTTCCAGCTTCTTCTCTCCATAACAACATCTTCCCTATTAATCTACCACCATGTTCATCCTAAACTCACCTTCAAACACCATTTCATCAATCACTGAAATCTTCATCTTCCAAACACATCTTCTTTCAACCAACAGAAACCTCAACTTCACTCATCACCTTCATCACTTCCGGTGCCGCGAAAACCCCTCCAAACCACTATTACCAAACATCTCAGAACCGCAAAACATAAACCTTCGAATATCATTTCCAGATCTTCAAACCCTCCATCGAACAACTATTCACCCACCTCAAATCTTTAAAAAAACCCAGATCCTTAACCGAACGAACCCTCTTCGCGAAACTCTCACCACCGTCTTCACTCAACCCAGCCAACACAGTAATCATCCATTCACCAACATCAATCTTCACCTTCATCAGCTGAACAACTCATCTCCTTCACCATTTTTCAGAAAGAACTCCTCACTTTAAACTGAGCTTCAAAATCAAATCAACCACCTTCCATCTTCGCAAGCTTCAACTCCTTTATCTTCATCATCCCCGACCTCCATCTCTGACCCATTTTCAACAACTCAGAAATTCCCCCATCTCAAACCCCTTTTCGCTTTACCTTCGAAAATCATCTGAAAACCACAAAGCCTTCCATCTTTAGCACAAAATGACCCATTTCACCATTTTTCTTCATCCCAACAACTTTTACCCAGTAAAACACATCGAAAACCCCAAACAGCAACAACACTACTCAAAAGTTTTGAAATGTGGATGGAGGACGGAACACTCTGAAATCGATTTCACTGCTGATGCTGCTTCCAATGTCGAAGGACCACAAAACGGTTTTGAGGATCTTTCTCCACCGTCAGATTTCAATCATACGGTTAACGAAGATGATGGTTCACTTGCTATAGAGCTTCATGAGAAGTTGGATTTGAAGGATGAAACAAAAAAGGTGAGGTTGTCGCGGAAATTTTATGAGGACGAAGATGTTATGTTGTGCTTTATTTTATTTTTGATATGAGTGTTGGCATTTTGGCTCATCCTAAGCCCATATGCACCGTGATTTCATATTCACCGCCCCTATTTTCACACACCCTCCCCCTGTTTCTTTTCCTTTTTTTTTGAAATATATTATATACTTTATTATGTATTATACTAACTATTTTTTTTGTATATATATTATATTAATTATGTTTATATATTATATTTTGTTTGTTTTTTTAAACAGTTTGGTTATACATTTTTTTTTGTAAATATAATTTATTTATATTTTATATATTATACTTTTTTTTAGAATATTATCTATATTATATTATATTTGGAATTTTATATTACTTTTAGAGTTTATATTATATATTATTCTAAGTTTTTTAATTTCAATTTCTTTTAGAGACTTTATTTTTAGAGTTGAATTTCTTTTCTCTTTTGTTATTGGGAATTTTGTCTCATTTTCATCTGTTTGGGTCGATGACGAGACCTCCAAGTTGTTATACGTCAAATTATTGATGGAAACGACAATCCCGAGACCGACTTTCTTTCTCGTTTTCATTTTCGACCGTTTATCCATCTTTGGTCATTTTCACCTGTTTTGGTCGTTGACGACATTTCCGTAATTCATTACCAGTCAAATTATTAATGAATAATGTTGGATTCGATACCACTTCTTTCTCCCCTCATTTATCTTCATCTTTCGATTTTATTTTGACTTGTCTTGGATCGATGAAGTCTTGTATCCGTAAGACGAGATCCCACTTCTGTTTTTGGTCCGTGCGACACGATTAAATTACAGAATTATCCTCAATATAGTTTCTCTATCTTTTCCATAGCATGGAAATCAATACGTGACCTTCTATAGCTTAGCTTCCCTTATAAGTCGAGCTACGACGGTTTAGCGTCACATTGGTCCCGATTCGATTTCAAAGCATCATGGCCAAGGATCAAAGAGGACGAGAAGCTTGGAAAGGAAGCTGGCACGCAATGTAAAGGGTCAACGGAACCACTTTGTTCGGTAATATTGTTTTAATTTCATCTTTTAATTAACCGCCGAGTGTTGTGAGCTGTTAGCGATAGATACGTGGGAAATGATGAGTGGACGGTCTCCTCTCACTTCGTCTAGAGTGTTTAACGTATGTCCTTTGGATAATATGCGATGCATTCGCTCCTACGTCTTAGGTTTTAGCGTTTGCGTCCCGATCCGTTTCCTTTCTCTCGCGTCTTTGCGATTGAGCCCCTTTTCTCTCGCATCCTTGCGATTAAAACTCTCTCTTTTCTCTCGCCCCCCTTACGATTGCGATAATCTTAGCAAGCTCACTTTTCCCTCTTTCATGTCATTAGCTGAACTACAGTTGCTCTAATTTCTCATACCAGATGAGAATATGTAGACACAAGACGCGATGTCTTGGCGAGCACACTAAAAACTAACTTCTCTTTTCTCTCGCCTCCGTGCAATCGAGACTTTTCTATTGACAACTAATCTCCCCTTCTCTTGCCCCTGTGCAATCGAGACTAGCCTGTTGTTCTAAACCTTTAGGTTCCCATACCTTTTCAACCATGACATGCTACGTCCGTTCTACCGCAAACAGGTAACGCCTAAGTCTCCAATGGTCGAGCAGCAATACACCTAACTGCTAGAATGTGTGCGTTAGTATCGTCTACCTTTTCTCTCGCCCCCGTGCGATCGAGAACACCCTGTTTACCCGCAGTTAGCCTGAACTACATTTTGCTCTGATTTCTCATACCAGATGAGAAGCGTAGGCACAAGACGTGATGTCTTGGCAAGCAATCCCACCCGTAGTTTCTCGAACTACGTTGACTCTAACTTTCCAATTGCACAAGGGAATACGTAGGCATAGGGCGGTGATGTCCTATCGAGTCAGTTCTTTCTGTTTCCTCCCGTTTAGCAGCAGCCGTAGATAGTTTGTTTTTCACCCATAGACTAGACAACAAGCATGGATCCCGTTGAGTACAACGGACGTGAGGGGTGCTCATACCTTTCCCTTGCGTAACCGACTCCCGAACCCAAGATTTGGTTGCGATGACATGTCTTTTCCCTTTCCGTAGGTTTTTTCTGATCGTTTCCTTTCCGTCTTTGGGATAAATAACGAACGGTGGCGACTCTTCAGTCTTCCGCCGGCCCCTTTTCGCAACGATGTGACACCACCCAACAACCCTCTTTAGTAAAGTGTTGGGCTCTACTTACCAAGAACGAAAGTGGAAAACCAGGGACTCCATTTCTCCACACCATCTTACCATCCAACTCAGAGATACCCAGGTGAAGAGCATTAGCCAACTTCGTCAAGTCAGGTTCTGCTTCAGAGTGGAAGAAAGGCACTTCCTTCAAGACTGGAACTCCCATCAACAGAGCAAACTCTTCCAAAGTTGGCATCAAGACATAGCCAGGGAAGGTGAAGCAACGCAACTGAAGATCATAAAACTGCAGCAGGGTATGGATACCTCTTAACTCATATCTTGAGATTTTGCAGACCTAGCTCAGAATCTTCATATAATCCTTCCTAAAGTCTTCCATAACACCATGATCAGCTACATAAGTGAGACTAAGCAAAGGCCCTATCTCTGGCGTTGGAAGCATGTAGACGACAGTCCTCTTGAAACCAAGCTCCATGCTGATGGTGGACCAGATTACTATAATCAAAAGGAAAACATGCACCTGAAACACAAATACACGCAAATGTTAAAATGCAAATGAAAATGCATATGCAAGCAGGGGATCATGACTGCTAAGCTGCTGACTGAGATGAACCACAATCTGCTTCGGCGAGAAAATACCAGAACATCAGAATACCGAAGCAATAGGAACCCACAGTATCAAAGATCAAAGGTCTGCACTGACGAGAAATACGGGTTGGTTGGAGGTTAATTTTTCTGCATAACCCTTCCGCTCACAGGTACGGACCTAATCTCTGATTAGGTTCGGCATCCTATGCGGTCGTCAATGTCACAAACTCTCGAGAAACGATGATACGTTCACCATTTCTAGTTTGGCATCATGGTCAAACGAGGAGGCCTCACTTAACTGACTTCCAAATGATCGGTCTCCAGAGTCGACAATTTTCAGATCCAACATCCTATCAACTGTCTGAAACGGAATGGACAGGATGTCGTCAAAGAAAATCTCGTCTGAACGTGAATTTCATGAGAGCTATTGCATGCCAAACATGCAAGCCCTCACTACTTTCTACACTAATGCTATGTATATACTCAAGCCTGGGTATTAGGCTTACCTCTCAATGGAACACCCACCCAATAACATAGCAGAAGATAATAACAATAATAAAGTGCGGAAAATAAAATGCAAATGCAACAATGTACAAATATAACACATATGCACACAAATATACACACCCACAAACATAAACAAACAAGCGCTAGGATTGACTCGCATAGGGAACCAGACTCCCCAGCAGAGTTTCCAGCTATCGTATACTGCGAAAAAAGGGAAGCCGACAAACTAGACAGAAGAGTCTCCACCAAACGTTATTTATCCCAAAGAGAGGGAAAGGAAACGATCGAAGAAAACCTAAGAGAAAGGGAAAGACAAGGTCATCGCAACCAAATATAGGGTTCGAGAGTCGGTTACGCAAGGGGAAGGTATGAGAACCCCTAACGTCCGTTGTACTCAACGGGATCCACGCTTGTTGTCTAATCTATGGGTGAAAACTATCTAAAGCTACTGGTAAACGGGGGTGAACGGAAAGAACAGACTCGATAGGACATCGCTGCCCTATGCCAACGTATTCCCTCGTGCAATGGGAAAGTCAGAGTCAACGTATTTCGGGAAACTATGGGTGATGGGGGGAAGGTTGCTCGCCAAGACATCTTCGTCTTATGCCTACGTATCCTCATCTGGTTTGAGAAATCAGAGCAAACATAGTTTGGGAAAACAAGACCACTGGTTGGTTAAGAGTTATATGAGTAAATGTTACGTTTCAATTCCAGTAGTTAGGGACGATGCCTGTTTGCGATAGAACGAAAATGTAACATACTCTTTTTGAAAATTAGGTTTGAAACAATCCCGCAGGATGAAAAGGTTTGGATTTTGTTTGTGTGTTTTACAAGTGCATTGAGTTAGTTTGTAACTCAGGTTGCACTAAGGACTATGACATAAGAGCGAATGTGTCGCATATTGCCCAAAGGGCATACGCTAAACACTCTAGATAATTGTCGCACCTTGAAAAATCACAGAGACTTTTCGAAGAAACGACGCTCGCGCAAAAGGCGCGGAAATGCGGTTTGACAGAGTCGCCACCGAACTTTATTTTTCCCAAATAAACGGGAGAGGAAAATATCGAGAAAACCTCTTAAAGAGAAAGGATAGGAACAGGGCTGTCGCAACCATGTTCCGGGTTCGGGAGTCGGTTACGCGAGGGGAAGGTATTAGCACCCCTCACGTCCGTTGTACTCAACGGGAACCTCTTATGGTATTTTGTGGAGTGTTGTTTAGGTTTACTTGTTTTTCTTCTCGTTGTTAAAGGTTGAATTGGTAGGTTAAAAGGTTAAAGACGCAAAGGGGGAAAGGGGTGGTTAGAGGATAGGGTGCTCGCCAAGTATTGGGTCCCTTGTGCCTACGTATGCTCATTCGGACGAGAATGAGAAATCAGAGCGTCGTAGTTCGACTACGGGAAAGGATGAGAAAGTATGGATGGAATAATGGAGAAAGATGGAAGTGTGCTCGCCAAGATTATCGCAATCTTGTGCCTACGTATCTTATATTCAAGAATGAATAAAGAATCAGAGTGTCTGTAGTTCGTGGTAACGACCACGAAAAGGGATACGGAGAAATGGGAGGATGGATAGAAGGTAGCTCGCCAAGATCATCGCAATCTTGTGCCTACGTATCTTACATTCGGACGAGAATGAAGAATCAGAGCAGTCGTAGTTCGTGATAACAACCACGAAAAGATAAGGTTTGAAAAAGATTAAAGTTGAGTTTGAGAAACGAAAGAGTGATTGACAAGCAACCCAAGGGCGTGCCTCAAGAGCTCGTCACTCAAGAATTCAAGG